AGTACCAGCATGTGTTTCCCTGACTGAATTTTCGAAAATACCTGCCCAGCTCCTACAGAACCAATACAGTTGAAATCCTGAAGACTTCCACATCAAGGGACAAAGAGTAAAATGCAAGTAAACCCAAATGAAGTAAGCAATATTTATATGGAGCTACCTCGTGATCTCTTGCAGTTAAAAACTTTTTCCTATCACGTTAGATGATGCCATAATGAAACCCTAGCTGGATTAATTCTCATTCAGACTGTAAGCAGAAGGGATACAGTCATGGAAGTGCTTGCTAAGGAGGAGCCTGGCAGTTACAAACTGTTCATTTCTTCTGTCTTCTATCATGCTTTTGTCTAAAGATACTCCTGCAGAATATATCCATCTCTTATGTTTATACGCCATAGGTTTCCAGGATAAGATTCACAGGGATTTGGAATTCAATTGCACTAGATTTTCAGATGGTTCATTGTAATGGTTGGCATCTGGTTTTACCCTGTAAAATAGATCTTCAGGTCATTAAATTTGATCCTCAGGTGTTTTCATAAACAAAGAGATTTTCCCCTGCTACCTGAAGACTCTGTTCATTTCTCAATTAAAAAATGTAAGGCAGTTCTGGGTTAGTCATAAAAGAGGTAATGCTGGTCTTTCTTAAAGTGTTGAAAACTAATTTGAACTTCCTTCCTATGAGTCTTTAGCTATTTACTATAGACCAGTGCATGTTCTTTAGGAAACATGAATAATGTACCGTTGGCTAGCACCGTGTCTTTAAGGTAGAATCCTCAGTATATTTCAGTAAGTATATATAATCCTGCACAAACAAGCACGTGTATATCTGTACACATACCTATGCATGCACATTCATACTGACAAGGCAACTTGATGACTGACATCATATTCTCCTTGACTGAATTATTTTAATCCTTGCTAAATTAATGCAACTAAACTAACTAAAGTAACAAAAACAAACAAGCAAAATTAATAGAACTAAAATAAGCACCTAAAAAATATAAAACACTATTACACACTAAGAGAATCATGAGATCATGATGTACGATGAAACTTGAGTAAAGTGGCCACTTCATGGAGTTTCCCCCTGTACAAAACAGCACCTACTTGTTACACTTTTAAGACACTGTGGCTGATATCTTGTTTTTTTTTTTTTTTTTTTTTTTTCAGATTAACTACTGTCATCACATCCATTTAAAATGTTCTAACCTCCAAATTAGATCACCTTTCAGGTGAAGTATCAGGCAAACACCCTTAGGATTTAGTTAGGTGAACCTTACGAGTTCAACATGAGGCAAACGGGTAGGCTTCTCAAAAGCACTTAGTATCAATTGTAAAATTCCTACAGATTTTAATGCAAGTCTTCTGCTAAACCTAAACAGTTCTGATAAAAATTTCATCCCACTATGACTTTAGGATTACACTACCTCGTGCACAGAAAAAGTGCAGCTACTTGCAGATCAAACGTTAACGCTCAGTCAAGGTTTCCAAAAACAAGCCCAAGCTGATAATGCTACTGCTGTTACATTAGCAAGTAAGAGGGTTGTTGCAAACAGTAATGGTCTTCTTAAAGCAAATAAAGGGAAAGTCAAATCAGGGAGCAGTTTAATATTCACCTTCAACAAGAGGAAGATGTTAATTTCCAGCTGTTTCTATTTTTAATTGATGATTTTTTTATGCAGTGTATATAAGCCAGCAAATTTTCTTCAGAAGTGCCCCTATTCTCTTAACTGAGTAAGAACTATATGCTTCTTATTGGTGTACTTGCACCATGGGGATGGGATAAAATATGAAATCAAAGATTTCTTTATTCTAGCTTGGAAAATTAACTGTTAAGCTCAGTGGGGGCAGAAACAAAGGTGGCATTTGATATAACTAATTTAGTATTAAACCAAAGCAGAGAGCCTTCTCAATGAAGAAAAAGACCAAAGGGAACACAAAACCGTACCTGAATTATTTCTGAGTCAATTCCTATAAAAGCAGAAGAACTTTCTTTTGTGCTCAAATGGATTACACATTGCCTTTTATAATATGCCCATTATTCACAGTTTTTAAAGATAATGTAATGAACAACAACTGCTAAGAAAGAATGATTTAAATTTTTTTTCAGCACATTAAAGTGCAAAGGCCATCTGAAGATGAAGCCTGGACTGCCTTTTAGAAAGCAGTTGCGGGATACACTTAGTTGATATGAAATGACACAGCTCTGTTAAATTTATTGTTCAATTAGAATGCAATGTAACTATGATTACAATTTGCTTACATTACCATATGTTAACAAAATAACAAACACAAGTTGTAGATTTTGTTCTTTGCTAAATTTTAGATGCTTTTAATTGCTTTGATTTTCTTTAATTGTAAAAAGTGTATGTTTCAGGGGATAGATTCTCACTTGTGCTGTCAGACCCAGCTAATCATTCCCTGCTTATCCACATTTCTAAAGACCTAAGATTTTGCTTAAAAAGAGGCTTAGGAGCAATTGTCTTGTGTTCATTAATCCATAAACATTTGATTTCAAATCAGACTGCCAGCAGACATAACCTCTTTGCATTGCTACAACAGAGACTTGATTTGATTAATCAAACAGCTCTGATTCACTGAATTGTCTCCAGAATAGTTGTCCCTGACAATACTATGCAAATAACTGCTGATGTTGTATTGGCATTCTCAGCTTTCTAAAACTGGTACGTTGTCCTCCATGAAAACATCAAAATTTTATATCTAACTCAACAACTATTCTGAATAAGGGGCACTGCATGTAATGTAGTCCTTATGTTCTATTCTTGGCTTTAAGAACAATGTTCTTAAGATGTTGTTTCTCTATACTTTAGTTTACCCTCTACTGAAATAGCAATAATGATATTTTTATAGCCTAAAACATTTACATTTCCTTAAGCAAATTTTTTTTTTTTTTTTTTTTTTTAGGAGCGATGCATCGCTATATGCCATGTAAGTATTCTGGCCTGTTCTGTTTAAATAGCTGGCATTCATACAGAATTAAAGGGATTATTTTAGCAAACAGGAAAGCTTTATAGTTTAAGATTCTGAAATGAAATATATTAATTAAGCCTACATAGTTAATACTAACTGCTGCTAAAACACCACAAGCCAATAACATGCAAAGGATGTATGATTCACTTCATAATGGTTACTCTGTGGGAGTATCTGCTCATTCTCCTGTGAAATAAAGCAAAGGTGAAAAACCGTAAGCCTGCAGTCAGAGCAAGAAAGAGATTAAAAAGTAAGAATACTCTTGTTACCTTTGGTTAGCCAACAGGAAAAGAAGCCAAAGTGACTTAAAGAGATGGAAATCTAAGCCTGCAGCCTCAGCAAAAAAAAAAAGAGCAGGAATTAAGAAACTTTTGTCAACAAAGTTCTAAAAAGTGATAGCTCCCAAGCCCCAAAAGAAAACTTCATGCACTTCAAAGATCAACAGGAATCATGAACAGAGGGCTTCAGGGGATGCAGTAAAAACTGTGAAGGAAGCAAGTATCTATTTCTTCCTGCTTCCTCTCTCTGGGAACTATTGCAGTTTCCAAATGGGGGTTGGTGCCAGTACTGATGCAACCAACTGGTTCACCCTGCTGGTTGACCCTGAGAAGCACTATGCAACTAGCCCAATGAGAAAAACTTCTCTGAACCTACTAAGACTACTGCTTTCCAGCAAAACATATTCACAATTACAATGGTCAGCTCTTCAGTATTGTGTCAAATACCTACATAAACTGTAGGCAAGAAACCTCAGGTAACCTACAGTGACTCTGACAAAGTGCAGATTGGTTAGATTATGTTATTTCTCACTTCCCATTTATAGAATCATAGAATCATAGAATAGTTAGGGTTGGAAAGGACCTTAAGATTATCAAGTTCCAACCCCCGTGTCATGGGCAGGGACACCTCACTCTAAACCATATCACCCAAGGCCTCGTCCAGCCTGGCCTTGAACACCACCAGGGATGGAGCATTCACAACCACCCTGGGAAACCTATTCCAATGCCTCACCACCCTAACAGCAAAGAATTCCCTCCTTATATCCAATCTGAACTTCCCCTGTTTGAGTTTTAACCCATTACCCCTTCTCCTATCACTACAGTCCCTAATGAAGAGTCCCTCCCCAGCATCCCTATAGGCCCCCTTCAGATACTGGAAGGCTGCTATCTGTTTCTTCTTAACGATTTAGAGAAGTGAAGGACGGACCTTCTGGTACAATCTTAGCCTAGGCCCACCATATTGTTTTGGTGAGCTTCTTAACAAGTACTTCTGCATATTAAACTCCGTATTTTCAGTATTCCTGAGAGATAAATTAGGTTACAAGCATTCAGTGTAAATTCAGCCTCCCCTCATTCACCATATGATAAGACGATACACTAAACCACTCATGGGATTACTGACACTGTATGTGTATTTCGTAATTTATGTATTAACATCAAAAATACTTATGTTAGTACTTGCATCAGTTACTTGTTTATGACTGAGCTAGATTTTTGTTGCTGAAGTTTTATGTACTTACTGACTTTTGAACCATAGTGTGTGTATTCAATGGTTATTTCTTGAAGAGTTACAGAACAGTTGGTGATTTCTTTTCAGGTTTTTATCAGAGATTAGAGTCTCAGTACAAGTGGGAAAAAAATGCTTGTTTGCTTTAGAAATAAACAGTACAACTCTTTTTGTTATTACACTGGTAAGATTATGAGCAATTTCCCCAGAGAAAAGGAAGTAAAATGAAAGGAAAAAAGGACAGCAGTTTTAAGAAAGAGGTGCAAGACCCTCTCCACACCTCTAGAGGTAGCAAGGCTTTCTACATTAGCAATCTTGGTTCAAAACAGGGATGCGGTCAAAAGTGAAACTTCTTTTAGACTTTCAGCTACTCTCAACTGGGTTTTTGCCCAGCATGCAGATTAGCATAATACTCTGTCCATGTTAAAAGAAAGGTCCATGACTTGAAACAGCAGGGATGCTGAAGTCAGAACAGAGCTTCTTGAAAGAACTGAATAACGAAGTCTGAATTTATTTATTTTTGTGTTTATTAAAAGGAAGGAGGTGTCCCATCATACACTTGTATTCAATCCAAGCATCTATCACCTGACTTTGTAAATGATGTTACATTGCTTGCAGGTGATTCTCACAGCCTAAGCTTACAATGAGAATTTTCAAATCAATTGAAATGCAAAGACTAAATACTGTATTCCTTTCCCAGCTGAGCTTTTATTTAATGTGCCAGATTAAGAAGCTTGCTCTGCTTTACTGGATCAGAGTCAACACAGTTTGTCCAAGAAACTCAGAGATAAGGGGAAAACAGGTCTTAATCAGGCAAAATTCTCAATAAAACAAATGGGCGTTTTGCCCAAGTATGTCCTGCAGAATTTATCGTTAGTTTTTTGCATCAGCTAAGCCTGCAAAAGAGGATTGCTGCTTTCATACCTATTTTTTTTTACAACTACCGCGATCCAGAAGAGAGTAAAAACAAACTTCTCCCTTTCTGATGTTTGTTTTTATCAAGCTTTAATCAACTAGAAATCCCCTTAAGAAAACTCAGACAGCAAGTTGGAACAGCATAATCTGAAGCTCCAGTGGGTTTGGATTATGTATAATGAATCCCACCGTTCTGTTAAGCTACCTCAAAAAAATACAGATCCATGAACTACAAATGTGATTCTTTTGTACCCTGTGCTCAGAAAATAATGACATCTATTTTATAACTGTACAAGTTCCTGTTAAGGTCACAGATAATCCTAACAATTACACTCAGAAGTATTATATTCCTTAAAACTGTGGATGTCATCTGATTTGCATATTCAACTGTTTTCCTCAGCATATGCCTCTTTTTTTTTTTCTATAAATTTCATGATGCCCTGCTGTTCTTAAGATGTTGAAGAATCACAGATATTAAAAACTGAAACACAATTTATAAAGCTTGGAAATTGCATTCCAGTAATGTTGATCTTCAGATAATACTATGAAATGTTGTCTACCTGCATAAGTTGCTCAAAAGTACGCCATGAAAGTGTCCACACAGAAATTATTTCAATGTGCTTAAAACTACTTGCTGCAGGTCACCCTGTGGACAAAGTAAACCAAGAAGTCAGAGCTACGCACTAGGTATACAGCGACAGTAGAGCTGTGCTTATAAAAGCATCAGACAGCTAATGTGATGGTTAAATCTGGCAACTGTGGAGAGGGACTAAGATCCAGCTTCCCTAATTCTTGCTATTTAAAATGAATTAATGCTTCATACTGAAAAAAACACAGAGATTACTCAAGAAGCTGCAAGAGAAGGATTGGTGCCTCAGGAAAGGAAAAAAAGTGTCTTAGAGATCTCTGAGTCTCCTGCTGCCTGTTGTTGTGGGAGGAGAAAAAGAGGGATTATCGCACAGACAGGAGGAGACAGATTCAACTCTTGATTACAAGCAAAAATATCAGTGAAATAGCTGCAATTTCACAAATACAAAATTAAGGTATGTGAAATCAGAATTGGGCTCAGATAGCCTTTACTCAGAGGTTACTACATGCAGCTCTAACATCAACAATAAAAATTTAACTTGGGAGTAAATGAAATTATCATCTTCCTGCCCTTTTTCCATGCTATAAAATGGTTATTAGGGTAAATGTGACTCAGACTTGGGATCCCTGGTCACTGTCACAGCCAAGAACCTAAGTATATGAAATCTTGGCTCTGGTAAAGCATGAGTGTTAAATTCTGGGAAATGATAACACTGTTTCATCCCCAAACAGTCTATATATAACAGCAAGACTAGGCACACATAAAATTATGCACTATCTTGCCTCAAGGTTAGCAGCATATTCCAAGTAGAAGGAAAAATGTTATTTTCATTCCCTGCAATCATGTGATAAATAGCTGTAGGGCAGATTCAGCAAAATCTCGAAGGTTGTGATTTCACAATATAATGAATGTATTTCTAGCTCTTTACCACCTGAAAAAGCAGCAAAACAAAGCAGGATTTGTCAGGTTTTGCTTATGGCAGAAATCAGACATTGTCCAGAACCCTTCATGAGACACACTGCTACCCTCTTAACTAGTTTGTAACATTAACTCCAATACTTCAACAGCTCCGCTTTCCAGCATATGGCATAATTGGAAGCAGCAGCCAGGAGGTATCACATGTGAACGGGAAATGTCTCCCACTGAGTAACTACTGACTGAATCAAATATGTGGTCTTGCAGGTAAGTTTGTAGGGGAAAATAAGAAGAAACAAAAAGAATATTGAAAATGATGGGATTCTTAGATGGGTGAAGCATCTCTGCAGGATATGAGGAACATTTCAAGAAGTATAAAACAACCATTTACCCAGATTGCTTACCTAAAATAAACAGTACATCTTAAATGTGGCTTTAAAGGAATGGTAACCCTTCAGTTGACACACCAATGGATAATTCCAGGAGATGCTTTAATCAAGGTGGCTCACATACACTGAAAAGTGTGTTCTCAAGAGTGGGCAGACTCAAATTACAGCACAAAAAGAAAATGAAGAAAGCAAGTCATGCTCAGGACTGCTCACCTTGCTTGCAAAGTAAGTGGTATTTGTTCCTATTTGTCCTGAGTTCAGCAGTAGCAGTCAATTTTCTCCTTCTTATTAGCTGGTGCAGCGTTGTGTTTTGACTTTCAGCCTGGGAACAGAGCTGGTAACGCTGATCTTTTAGTCTGACCAAGAACTTTCTGAGCCTCATGCTCTGCCAGGGAGGAGGGAAAGCCAGGAGGAAGCAGAGACAGGACACCTGACCCAAACTGACCAAAGAGGTATTCCATACCACAGCACATCATGCCCAGGAGGTAACGAAGAGTTACCCAGAAGGGCTAGTTCAGTGGACTGTGGGGTTGGACAAAGTATGGGTCAGTGCTTGCTCGGGCTGGGGGGGCGAGTTATCAGTCGGCAGGTGCTACAGTGTTGTATTCTCTTCCCTTGTTATTTCCTTTATCATTGTTATTATTGGTGGTAGCAGCAGTGATTTGTGTTATACCTTAGTTACTAAACTGTTCTTATCTCAAACCGTGGGAGTTGCATTCTTTTTGATTCTCCTCTCCGTCCCTCCAGGAATAGGGGGAGGGAAAGAAGGGGGAGAGTGAGTGAACAAGCTGCCTGACTGGGTTTAAACCATGACACTATTCTACTCTTTTATTGTCAACATGGAGTAGAGTGTGAATTAAATGTTTTATTTTGATCATGTTTTCTCCACAATGCTGTGGTTTACTGAAGCAAAAGTTGAATATAGGCACATCTGTACTATCACTACCATGACTTCATGGCCTGTGTTGAATTAGTGTTTGATTTTTAATGCTTCATATTACTCCACTTTGGGGGGATGACAGCTATAACCACTGTATGCAGCTGCAGTCTTTGATGCTATCACGCATAGTTTGCAAAACAGAAGCACCAACATTGAAGAAGGTATGAAAATGCATTGGAACTATACCAGAGAGTAACGCAAGCCTGGCAGGAACTATTATGGGTATCACTGCTAGTATCACCAGGGATATATGTGAAAGCCTAGCAAGGACTTTAATTCAGTTATGGGACCAAATCGTATGGTTTTGCCAGCCAGTAGGGCAGAGATTCACTTTGCATCACTTTAGAAGTGTCAAAGGACCTAGAATAAGTACACATGTAATTCATATCCTCAAAGGCATCTTTACATTGCAAGGCAGTGTAACATGATTTTACACGGAAGTCGGTAGTGCAGTATAAAATCCTGCTAATGATAAGATATTGTAGTTTCACCTGTACATAGCCAGCTGAGATGAACCCCAGATGTATTGTTAGGGCTGACCTCAACCAGCTACATCAAGGTATCTAATACCTGCTGCTTGTCTCCACAAGGATTTTACACTTAGACAGATACCTCGCCATAGTAATCTTGATGTAAAACAAACCTCTTTTTTTTTATTTTTTATTTTTTAGTGAGGACAGAACCTTTAACAAAAATGAGAAAACATGCGTTCTTAAAAAGTTAGGTGTGTACAGCACAGTCCAAATGTAAATGAGATCATCTAGCTCAGTCGATTTGAGTTGTGCAGAATAATACAAAACCTAAATTTCTCCTTTTGTGTTTTAAAAGATTTCCAAGAGCAGCAAATTTACAGGAGAAAATACCATACAAATTTGCTTCACATATAGAAAAAGTAATACATCTTTTTTTTTCTTGCGTTTGCAAGATTGCATCTTCTGGTGCAAGATTTAATGCACTTTGTGAAAGTTATTATGCCGTGGTTTATAAGCTTCATCTGGATGTGACAGCAGTTCAGATTTCATGACAGCATGCTAACTTATCTCTGCTATTGAAAAAACTAATGAGGTGGTAAATAGTTGCAGAGCGATGTTACATGCAGTGATATGCAGATTTTGCGAGTTCCTCATTATCTGTGTAACTGTATACATGTAAAAGTAATGAAAGCCCAAAACAGGTAGCAAAAGCTTAAGGCTTTTAAACTGGAATAGAATTGTGTTAGTGTTTTCTAACAGACATATAATATTAAAGCAATCTCAGAAAAAGCCCCTTGATATTTTACCTAAAGCTTTCTGCCAGGTCTAAGGTCTCATGGGCAACAGATCACAATTAAACTAACATAGCAAATTTATTCTTGTTCTGGTAATTCTAGTCAAGGCAATGGCCTAATGCTAAGCAGTCTTAAGGATTCTCTTTGTTATGTGGCTTGTGGCTTTTAATTGAAGGTGCTATCACAGCATCTCTATCAGACTCCAAATGTTATGAGCTGTAGCAAGAAGTAGCACACACTGCAAAGGGCTCTCCCGATCCTCAACTGTATTTACTGTGGACAGAAGGAAGCAAGATATAACACTCTTCAGGAGCTAGAGGATTCCCAAAATGAACTTCAAGAGCACTGAATACGTGCTTGTATTCAGCACTAGGACATGAAAATGTTAAAAAACACCAAGTGGAAGCTAGTGAATACAAAATGTTTTTTAATGTGGTCACCACCAATCCAAAGAATGAAAGTTCTGAAATCAGGAGTTACTTCTGTGACATATTTATGACAGATAAAAACCATAAATGGCAACAAGAAGTACTTTGTCTGCAACTGATCTGCACCATCTATGAAACCACTCTGCTGAAAAGTGCTCAGGCATGCTGCTTTAAAAAAGCAGACTCAAGGATCACTGACATTCTGTATATTTGTATTGCTTAGGGCCAGATATATTGACTCCCTCAGTTCTAGTTACAACGAGAAGAAGCTGTCCCAGCCAACATCTCTGCAAAACCACAGTGATGAAAGTAGGCCCTATTTTCTCCCCTGCCAAACTTTCAGCTTGGTTTTGCAACCCAATTGTAGTATAACACTGAGATACAGAGGGAAAATGTGTGTTTCATGTTGCAGGAATGGATCTTCTCAGATTTGTATTAACAACTATAATTTATTCTGATTCTTTAAAATCTGCTGGAATAAGTCAAAGCAAGTATCTATCTAGTTTAGATGTGGTTTACTTCCTGTATTATGCTTCCATCCAGACGTACTTCTAAATGCTTCAGACCTTTGAATCTTAATGAAGCCTGTTGGTTCATTAGAAGTCCTTACCTACAGGAGTGTGTGGTTATAAGTTTGGTGTGCTACAGCAGATCATACACAAATGTGCCACTTCTCTACTGTGGCAGTATTCCTGTGAGGGGAAATCTCAGCTAATATGTGTGTAGAAGTGCTCAGAGAATGAAAGATGAGATTAAAAAGAGAAATAAGAAAGGACAGTGACAGCTCCTCATAAAAGAAAAAGATGTTTAAGCATCAGCCAAGTAACTATGATTTTTTATATAATTTATAGTGGAAGCCTGAAGACTAAAATACTCCACAGGCCATTAGTTTCTTGGTACCCTGTGATGGATTAGAATATTTCTTAATCAACTGTTAAAGCACAGAAGGTGGCCAAAGCCTAGATTTGAGCAAATATGAGTAATAGAGAAATCCAGGGACATTCAGCAGGTATGCTATCAATAGACACATCACAAAACCACAGAAGTGTATCAGCTTCTTAAGTATCTTGAAAACCACCTTCCATTTGACAATTTCTTAGCCCAGAATTTGAAAAACCTTATTAAGAAAAAAAGTTCTGATTTGTAATCAGGAGAAGCAGATTAAAAAGGACAAAAAAAAAAAAAAAGGCAAAAAAAAAAAAAAATTAAGCCACAAAATTAGTAGGAAATACAAATTACTTGCTGAAGCTTCTGGACCACTCCTTTTCCTGGAGGCACTCTGAAAGCCTACACAGCCCACCCAGAAGTGTTCACACTCTACCTGTTAAGTATTACAAACTGCATGAGGTTTGTTGCAATGTATTAATTCCATAGCTAAGAAGAAAGCAAAAGTAAGTGCATTTATTTAAATCTCATTCATACAATATATTTTCATATCACTTACATGAGATTGACATTCACACAATTCATACCACTAGTCACCTACAGCTTCACTGTCCACCTGGATTGTACCATTACTCTCAAAAGGATAGTCATCAGAAGTTGAACCAAACAGGATCGGAGTGAACCAAGGGTAGCTTTCCTTCACTATATCCATGTTTCTCATCCAATTCCACAGTATAGACAAGCATTGCCATTTTTAAGTCACTCCAGTTTGAGGAAGAAAAAAAGGGTTGTAAAATAAAAATAAAATGCCAATCAGTAGCAGATCACCTATCTTGCTCGTTTCATTTTGTATTTCTCCTGATTGACAACCTGGTGCTCTTGTAGCATACAAAGGCAAAAAAAAAATAATCAGGCATTCATTTCAAACTGAAATGTTTGACAGATGTTACAGCTGTCTGAAACAAAACTGATGAAATTTCAAATAGGAAAGCCCATGTCCTGTACAGGGGAGACATTACATTTCATCAGGCAAGGTTTACTGTCCTTAGATGCAGATTTCTTTTCCTTATTTATCTGGCAGCTGTTAAAAATATGGGCAATGACTAGGACTTTGCTATTGGTGCAGAGTCTACCTCCTGCTGCTCTGGATGCCAGAGACTTCAGCGGGATTTGTGTTTCAGGGTACTGTTGTCACAAGCTGAAGGCAATTTAAAATTCTCTTACTGGTAACACTAGCACTTCACTGATATTTTGACCTGCATTTTTGAAATGGTGAAAGTAAAATAATCTGACAAGTGACTGAAAATTCATGCTGCTAGAGACACATATCTAAACCAGAGAGGTAAAAGAAGCATTTTTACAGTATAATGTGAATGGCTAGATATGACGGAGGATAGAGACCAGAAGTTTACAACTTCCTTTTTTCCCTATTGACTTTCACAGAATGAGGTACAGAGGAGCATGCAGCACCGAGGAAAAACAGATATACTCAGAACAGTACCAAAGCAAAAAAAAAAAAAAAAAAAAGGTATTTCATTGCACCATCTTCCTAAAATAGCTGCACAAATGGCCAGATAATGATTTATCAAAAAGTCAGTAAGTCTTTCTGCTGATTCAGGAGCCTTTGAATTTGAGCCATAATCTAAAAAAGACCTTCCCAAAGGCAACTGTGCACATTATACATTTTTGTATGCACATATACTACTCAAATAACACCTTTACTTAAAGAAATACACACTCTTAAAACCCTTCTCTTGACCTCAGTAAGAAAACTGGACTGGATCATGCTTTTCACTGGTAAAGTGAAGATTATGGATCACACTGGATCATACTCTTCACTGATGTGGGATGCATCTCACCCAACTGTATCCATCAGCTTTGGTAATCAGTTTAAACCAGCATATTTTCTTTAGGGTGCAGTAAGTCATGAACCCAGGGAAGCAGATTAGAACTGACAAGATGAATCCCACCCTAGTGTCAAGAAGAATCAGGTATAGTTTTTGTGAACATCATTTCCAGAAATTAGACTGGATCCTCAGTCAGAAGTTGGGCACCTGAAGGAACCATAACGTTCAGATATATTCATTATGTGCTTATAAAGAGAGGGACTGGCATAACAACAGTACTGCTAATACCTACCCAACTGAATGGAAAGCTACTAAAACCAGATGTTAAATATCAGTTCCTCTCAGGCTTTGAATCTTATTCTACACAGGAAGGAAGCAATTTCTTTAATTTAAATTCATGAGTCTGCACCCTCTTTTGGAGCTCCTGCACCCCTTCCTGTAAAACCAAGCTTGTTAAAACTTTCTTCCAAAAAATACTGGTAAGGAGAAGGTAGCGACTCGCATAAACCTCAGTGTTGAAAGTATTTTGTCATTAAGTTCAATAGCAAATTCTTTATTTCTCTTAAGGAATATGAGTGAATAATCCCTATAATAACCTGATACACAGGTCACATATAGAAACACATGCATCCTATAGATGCCTTTATACCAGAAACACAATTGCCTCCATAACCTTATGTATTTTGAAGGAGCATAGATTATGAGACAGGTATTTACATTTATTGAGTTTAGCCATTTAAGAGAGAGATTACTGATAGCTACCAATCTACAAGAGGCTGTATGTAATGTTGGCAAATATCATTCACAAATGAATGGTCTTCCTCTTATTCCCCCGCCATGTTTTAAAGGCTATATGACCATAGCAGGCATAGGCTAAAATAGCTCATTTGATTAAAAATATTGTACAGGCAGTTATTTAACGATTTTTAGCAACTGAGAAAAGCAGTCACAGAGTTTCTTTACTAATAACACATGAAAGCCTAGGAGTTACTAAGAATATCCTACAAAATTACAAATAAAAGTAGTTGTATGTAAGAATTTGTCTGGAAGGAATGAGGGGGAATGGATGAGAATCAGTCTGAGGCTACTAGGTACTTTACAAGCCAATATCAATAGCAATTCTCTTTCAGGTATCAGCCAATGAGAATATCTGATTTAATGTTTTTGGAGTGGGGAGAGGTTGCTGTTTTAAAATGCTACCTAGATCTTGCTTCTGCAAATGTGGGAGAAGAAACAAATGAAAGAAGAAAAATCTGACAGCTGATCCTCTGCATTTTATCCTCTGCATTTTATCAAATTCATCTCAGAATAAAATTATTTTTAATTCACTTGACTCCAAATTAATTTTACATATTTTTAGATTTTGGAAATGCTATCTCAACATTATCCTATTACTCTTATGAAGAAGTTAGCATCAGGAAGAGATGCGTATGGTGTAAATCAGATTTACCATGGTTTTGGATTTAGCTTCAAATGCTACTCTAAAAAAAGGGCTTCTTGTATTTCTCTTGTGGCAATGTGTGCATATTCCAGAACAACTTTCAAATAATAATATTTGTGCACAAAAAAATCAGTGTGGCATTTTACAAAAGAAATGGCAAAACTACACATCAGCTCATAGAAAACTACAGACACTACACACCAACAAATCCTGACAAACGCTGAATTACACAATTTTCCCTCTGTGCAACAGAAGATGCAGGACAACCCATGCCAAGACTTTAAAACAAATCTCCTTACACTTCACTAGCTGCAAAAGAAACAGGAAAAAAACAAAAAATGGGTAACTTTTGGGACTGGTACAATTTAGACACTGTAGTATGTCTACAAATCAGATATTTAACCAACTTTCTCTGTATTATCATGCATGATTCATGATACTCACAAGAACTGAAAACTAAATTGATAATGCATGCCAAATCTTTCAAAGATTTGAAAGTCCAGATTTTTTTAGTAAGATCAATATGACTTTAATATCAAAATTATCTGAATCCTTCAGTACTAATCTACAAATGGTTTTGTATGGCTACAACAGTGCTGTTATGCAAAATAATCATCTCATTTATTTATTTATTTGAAGTTTTCGGAATTGCAGTACCAATGTAATAGCGCACTAGTACGAATTTAAGGTGTATTTTGTCAGATATGACTAGCTCTGTTTCCAGAGAGTGTTTATAGCTCAGTAGAACACAACCCACTACAAAAAAAAATTATTGCAAACATTTTAGAAGGAACTTCTTTTGTATGAATGTTTAGTTATAAAAGAACAGTTAAGATGATACATATTTTGCATCTAGACACGCCTTTAAAATCTCAGTTAGGCAAGAAGCTAAAGCCCCTTATGTTATAAATGTCTTCCTAAAAGACACAAATGGAAATGAACAGAAGCCCCTTCACCCCATACTTCAGTAAAATATTGCAGGATCTTTCTTATGTACAGCTTGGGAAATCTTTTTTCAGTCAATGGAATGTCATCTTATGTAAACCAGAAATGAACTGATTAAATGTTCACATCAGTCTATTGAGATAAATCTCTTTACATACCTTTCACCACAGACGGGAAAGTCAAAGCAATAATAAAAGAAAAAAGTAACACATGACTTCGTTTGTGTTTGGTTTTCCTTCAGCAAAGACTCGAAAATTATAGAACGCATGTGAGATGGCTGTACTTGAGTAGCAACTGAGACAACTTCCCAGTATAGATTTTAGAGATAACCATATTTCATGGGAGAAGTGATAACAAAATTCAGGTATCACCTGTTGTTCCTGTTAGATCTTTCACGACATCGTATGTCCATTTTGTCAATTTTATTCTGTATGTCCAGTGCAATTAAATGGCAGTGCAAGAAGATACAGCATATCCTGAAATAAATGAGACTTAAACTCAGGTATTCTTGAACTGAATTTGCCTAGATGAGGATTGGTCCATTAGGTATTATGCATCTGTCTTGTACAGAATATGTATGAATGAGCAG